GGGGGGGGGGGGGGTCTCCAGAGAAACGAACATACGACGTTTCTCATGGACAAAATCGATATGTGAGGCTTCCCTTAAACAAACTTCTATATGCTAGTCCTCAATGAGGAAAGACTGGTGGCAAACTGATAGTATTGAAAAGCTATCAGGTGCCGGTCAAAGGTGTTAACATTTTCTTAATGTTTGAAATTTTCTTAGCACCAGTCGGGATACAAGTCATTAACAGTTTGATATCCAAAATCAAATTTTTGGTATCCTGTGGATATCGGATACTGCAAATTTCAGACCATGGGTAGTTGCGACACGAACAGAAAGTCTGTTAATTTAATTCATAGAATAGCATGTTAAATTTTCCTGGCACTCATAGATTTTCAATGACAGGCTGACAAGTGCATCGCACGTCTAACAGTGAAATAGAATGTTTTCATTGAAGTATTTGAACATTAATATACCTACATATATGAAGAAATATTCGAAAGTAGCAGTTGATTTGAAACAAGTGGTTAAATTCTCTCTAACCATGTTTAGTTGGGACATACCTAGATAGGCATGTGAGGATTGACTAGATTGGCAGCTACATTAGTTTATCAAAGAAACACTGGAATCTGGCAGTCTGTCATATTAAACAATTATTGAATGAGGTCGAGTAGGATATGAGGAATTATTAAGGCCGAGGTTTGTGTTATGGCCAAAGGCTGATCGAGGCAGATACCACAAACCGAGGCCTTAATAATTCCTCATATCCTGCGAGAACTGAATTCAATAATTGTTTTATTTATTTATTTGTTGGAATACACAAAAAAGGTCGGCGAATCTTTCCTTTGAGGAAGCCATTTGTATTTTCCCGCTTTTGGCTAGCCTGCGAACAGGCTCTCAAGCTGAATTGAGAGCCTGCATCGATGACTAATGAATTTGAATATCTGCGTCTCAAATCGTGACGCGAAATTCTCATTGGTCAGATTCTATAATTTATATGTTTCCGCTGAGCTCTATATATGTTAACTGCCCAGAGGAGGAGTGAGGACTATACCGGCATGCAACGCGGTCAGGCGCGGTTTTTTACATATTATCGATTTCTCGCTCTGCGCCGTCATTGTTCGGTCGGCTTTCGCTGTGTTTACACCTCGAGGTTTTAAAGTGCCACTGCGATGGAAAATTGTGCTGTCATTTTATTGTATATTCAGAAAGTATGTCCGTAGATAAACAAAATTACCAAATATCAGCGTCCAATTCCATTTCCTTCTGCCTTTTTTTTCAACGCAAACATGCAAATTTTTCGGCCGCCATTACTGAGTTGTCAATTAGCGAGATGTTGATTTCTTAGCCGGATGTGACGTCATTTACTCAACACGCTTCTTTCCCGAAGGAGAAATTAATATTATGAAAGGCTTATACTAGGCTGTTTTTTGTTCAAAATTATGTCTTCTGACGAAAGCCACAGCTCAAATTTTGCAACACAATCATCTTGCGAACTCTCTTTTGCCGAAGACGTTTCTTGTGATAGCGGGGGTGATGTAAATATGGAGAAAAATGTGGATTTGTGCGAGGCCTATGATACTTCAGTCGAAGCTCTTGCCACTGAATACACGAAAAGTACTATAACTGACAGAGAGCTAGCAAGAGCAGCAAACACTGTCTGCTGGATTGTCTGGGGAAACCTTAACGGGCACCTGGTACGTTTTGGATTGTATTTATTTACGTTTTGGTTTATATATTTGTGACATAAAACAAACATGTGATGGCCATGTTTAACAAAACAAATGGTCACTGGTCTCCTTATAAAAAGTCATTGTCACCTCCGTTATATTGCACGAAACGTCTTCAATGAGAGATGGCTTAAAGATGACTATGTTGCCAAATTGGAAATCCTAACTCACGTAAGAAAACATTAATTTGCACAAAGTTGTGGGAAATATATTACAATATATA